GCCCCTCTCTTTTTCCCGATATCTGCTAGGTTCACCCACAGATGTCCCTCCGTCACTACCATAGCCGCTGCTTAGTAGCACGGAGAGCAAGATCCATGGTGCGGCGCACTCAGCTACCTCATCAGGAGAAAGGCCCTCGCCTTTATCCAGGTCTTTAGTAGAGCACTGGCCCCTGGATCAGACAATGTTAATGAAATAACATCATCCTCCAGTGGCTCACTCTCGTCCACAGTCGCACTGGTAGTGACGTCATGGCTGTCGCTGGCCAACGTGTTGTTGGTGTTTTTTCAATGTATGCTTCAGACACGGGTCACGACGAGGCATTCCCCATAGCGACCCCTAGAGGACGCAGTTCGAAGTTCCCATGAAAGGGAACTTGACTTCTTGAATTGTCATCTCACTCCTGCTTATCAAAGTGCAAATCCCACAATCACTCTGTGAGAATCTGTGTTACAAGTTGATCTAACAAGTTAAATAATATTGTTTTTATTAAAAAAAAAAAAAAAAACTTGCTTTTTTTGCAGGTTTGAATAATAATTAAAAAAAAAGATTTTCACTCGGTGTAAATAAATACATGAATAAATAGGTGTATAAACAGTATATAAACACACAGTACCAAACTTTGTCTTTTTCCCTAATTTATTTTATTTGAATAATTATTAAAGTAAATATTTATATTTAATAATTATATTCTATTTTTTATTATTACAAATTATGCTTTTATTGTTTTTATTATTATTATTACAAATACATTCTGACCTTACTGTATGTGCACAGGACTTTTTTTCCAGTTTTAAAGGAATAGTTCACCCCAAAATGAATATTTCGACATCATTTACTCACCCTCATGTCATTCCATTCCTGTATAAGTTTCTTTCTTATGTTGAACACAAAAGAAGATATTTTGAAGAATTTTGAAGAACCAAACAGTTGTTGCTCCCCATTGACTTCCATAATAGGGAAAGAAATACCAAGGAATTTTAGGAACGGTTTAATAATTGCCTGCATTCTTCAAAATATCTTCTTTTATGTTTAACATAAGAAAGAAACTCATACAGGTTTGGAACGACATGAGGGTGAGTAAATGATAAAATGACAAAATTTAAATTTTTGAGTGAACTATCCCTGTAAATTACATTTTGAATGTCAGATTTTCAGTGTGGACTGCAGTGTATATATCCTCATGACAGTTCTTTCTTTATAGGAGCGTATAATTAGATAAAGGGACTCTGATCTTGCGCTTGCTATGTGCTGGAATGAGCAGCAGCTGATAGCAGAGTGCAGCTGGTGAGATATGGCCCTTTAAAAGCAGTTCATCTGAAGAGGGGTCTGAAGTTCAGAACCCTGTCTGGATGCTCCTCACCAGACCAGGACATTGCGTAGTATTTTTGACCACTTTAAGTAAATATATACTTTGTTTTACATGTTCTAGGCATAGAAACCTCTAACTGGAAATGTTTCATGATGCAAACCCTTTCTAAAAGCATGCTTGCAGAGTTCACCATTAGTCTTCAGCCTTGGTGTTTCCAGAAAAATCACTCCTGCATAGATTTGTGTGTGGTGTACTCTTCCCAAAAGTGGTCCTGATTTGAAGCGAATGGCCTCACCCTATGAAGAGGCCAAGTGTAAGCTCCTGCTGGGTAGACGGTGCCCAACCCTGGGCTGCTCCGATCCAAAAACAGCTAAAAAAAAAAAAAAACCCTGCTGGCTTTCTTCCCCACCTCTGTGAAACACCTCGACAGCCGCAAATAGCCCCACACTTCATCATCGTGCTCCACAGACCACTTCTCAATCTGATTAGATTACATTTAATTCTATTAGCTAATATAGATGTTATTTTTCATTTCATGCACAGTATGTAATTATATTTTTTCCTCATTACTTTGCGGAAACAGTCACCTCGGTAAAACAATTACCTAGTTTTTGTCATCATTTATAACTCTGAAGTTCAGCGACCTGTCTAAATGTCTCTTAAAATCACTGTTCGTTTTCATAGGAAAATAGTTGCGTGCTTGGGGATGTTGTGTTTTGTTTTCAGGCGTTTAAGACTCTGTTCATTAAACCCAGCTAGCCGTGATGTTTCAAGAATGTGTTATGCGTGCTGGGTCTCTTGCCCAGTCTCATTTTTACAGTCGAAAAAACTGAAGCGAAATATGAACCGGCCCATATGTCTCTCCTTCAATTCACCCGTGCCTCATAAAAAAAAGAAAAAGAAGAAACTCTCTCTCTGCATACCGAACTATCAACAACATCAATTACACCAGGGCATCTGCAGTTCTTTCTTTGTAGTTCACCTGTATGTGAGTTTTAAGTTCAGCCTGCAGTCGTTCGAGACCATGCGCTCTGATGAAACAAAAGCACAATGAGAAACTTGGTGTTTGTGATGTCGAAAAGTTAATCCCCATGTTAGTTTATCTAGCACAGTCTGCACCGCGAGCTATTAGGAAATATGAGGCCATGAATGTGCATGTGACTCTGTGTTCTGTTTCATTAAATGAGAACAAAATATGACCTGGGCCCTTTGGAATTGTGCAGATTCATAGGTTTTTAGATCATATTTTTCTTATGTAACTTCTCAACTGAGATGGTGTATCAAATAATCATGCAGGCCAAGAAGAGTAACACTTTACTGTAGTTCTGTAGTCTATTTTGGCGATCTATACAGATACATGCATTGAGACAACCTCTGAAAAAGATCCATTTAAAAAAAAATTGTTTTCATATATTTATATATACACAGTGTATATACACATATATAATTTAAGGGGGTCTGAATACTTTCCGTACCCACTGTATATGAAAGTATATATATAAATATACAACTATATATAAATGTAAGTATATATAAATAAATTAAATAACTTGACTACAGAAATTAATATAAATAACTCCTTAAAACAAGTGTAATTAATAATTAAAACAGTACTTAAAGCAAGTGAAAAGATGTCATTTTTATATATTTTCCCCCACTTACATACATATATATTAAAAGTAAGTGGGGAAAAATATATAAAAATGACATCTTTTCACTTGCTTTAAGTACTGTTTTAATTATTAATTACACTTGTTTTAAGGAGTTATTTTATATTAATTTTATATTTAATAATATTTTTTGTTTAAACTTAAAGTCATAAAAGACAAAATTAAGTTTTATTTAAAATGCTATCTATGACAAGTCTTAATATATTGTGCAGTGTTGCTTTTTAAGTAAATGTATCTTGTAAAATGTGTGCTTTTTTTTTTGTAGTGTACACTTTAAGCATGCAAAATTATTTCATTACTATCCTGCAACAAATGTCAGCAACAGGATGTGATGTCCCAAAGAAAAAATAAATGTTAAAGGCATGGTAAAACAGTTCCAAGACCAGTTTTATTTGACCTTCATATTCAAAAACTTAGTTTTAATGAAAATCAGCCTATAGTACATTAAATGATGGGGATGCTTTTGAAGAAAAAACAAAACAAAACTATATTTCGCTGCACAGCTCCCACATAATAGTGTTCTGTTATTTCTTCTTCTTATTATTAATGTTTCAGTGACTGTATTTGCTTAATAATGTTTTAATGAAAAAATTTGTCCTTGCGTACATATGTGTCCTTCGTAACAGTACTGACATGCCACAATGGCATCTATGTGATAGTCTTGATTTTATATTCTTCTTCTCTCTCTTCCTTTTTCAGCCTGATGAGTTGACAAACGCTCTGGAAATCAGTAATATTGTCTTCACCAGTTTGTTTGCACTGGAGATGCTCCTGAAACTGCTGGTTTATGGTCCTTTCGGCTACATCAAGAACCCTTACAACATCTTTGACGGCATTATTGTGGTTATCAGGTACGCGTGCTCTTCTGCATTCTTTCCTTAGACCTTCTAAACGTTAATACCACAGCCTGTGTCACTGTTTATTGACGTTCATCTTCATTTCTGAAAATGCACACTGGCAGTGTGTTATATCCCAACAGTGACAGCCAGACAGAATGCAGCCATTACTGAGTGATGGGAGATCTGTTGCCTGTTCAGTCTGATGACTGTCAGCTGTCATGATGAGTGCTGCAATTTCACGCCCATCCATTCACAATTGACATGAATTTGCATTTACTAAGATGTCTGAACAAGCGAAAGATTTTTTTCGAGTGTTGTGTTTGCATGGTTTATCGTGGGTGAGAAAACAAATACTGGTTACCATAACAACCATTCTTAAGATCAAGAAAGTTTTTTTTTTCTTCAAATACCTCTACATCAATCAAATCAATCAATCAATCTATCAATAGATAGATAGATAGATAGATAGATTGCTTTGTTTGAAATGCAACAAACCACACCAAAACATTTTCGAATGTTTTTCTTGCGAGAAATAGCCCACTCTATTGCATTTCTCCCTTAGGAATGAAAGGGTAACTATGGTAGCAGGGGTTTGTTTTTGCATTGTCTTCCTTGTGCATTCTGTCAGATAGTCAGATGTGTGTGTTTATATGTGTTGACAGCGTCTGGGAGATTGTTGGTCAGCAGGGAGGAGGTTTATCGGTGCTGAGGACCTTCAGGCTCATGCGGGTGTTGAAGCTGGTCCGCTTCATGCCGGCCCTGCAGAGGCAGCTGGTGGTCCTGATGAAGACCATGGACAATGTTGCCACCTTCTGCATGCTGCTTATGCTTTTCATATTCATTTTCAGGCAAGATGAGATATAATTTTGTGCAATTTGAGTGTACTGTTTATTCAGTCCATTTATTTTACATTTTAACTTTTTTTTTGTGATTTTGTTTTACAGTATTCTAGGCATGCACCTGTTTGGATGTAAATTCGGCTCTGAGAGAGATGGAGACACACTTCCTGACCGCAAGAACTTTGACTCGTTGCTGTGGGCCATTGTTACAGTTTTTCAGGCAAGATTCCTACATGATACACAAGTTGCAATTTCAATCAGGCATCTTAACATCCATCTTGAGTGATCCGATCATAAGTGCACAGCACAAAATACAGATACTGTATAAACATGTTTTTTGATCCCAATTAATAACAGATGCTCAAATGAGGCATGTTTCATGCAAATGTACACTAATATTCAAAAATTTGGGGTGAGCAAGATTTTTTCTTCTTTTTTATTTAACATGAACTAACAATCTTCTAAAGCATTTATTAATCATATATAATATTAATTTCAGCATTTTCTAATATAATATTAAAAAGTTGTATCTGTTAATCTTATTTAATGGACCTGAGCTAACATGAACTAATAATAAACAGTTGTATTTCTATTAATAACTAATGTTAACAAAGATTAATGCTGTAATAAATTTATAGCTCATTGTTAATTAATATTTATGAATTAAATAATGTTAACTAATGGGACCTTATTATGAAGTGTTACCCATTTATAATGTTACAAATGATTTCTATTTTAAATAAATTCTGTTTCCTTGATGAACTTTCTATTCATCAAAAAATCCCGAACAAAAAGTATTCAGTTTTTTACAAAAGCATTGAAATATTAGAATGATATAAGCATTTTATCAGCATGATTTATGAAGCATAATATGACAGTATGTGACTGGAGCAAACTGAAATTTCAGTTTTGCCAGCACAAGAATAAATTAGAAAATATAATGTATAAACAATAATTTTGTGGTGATATTTCATAATATTACTGTTTTTACTGTAGTTTGATCAAATAAATGCAGACTTTTTTTTTTTTATTATTATTATTAAAAATCTTTCCAACCCCAAAATTTTGAACATAAGTATAAATGGCAGTTTGATTATATTTGTTTCTTGTACATCAGATCTTGACTCAGGAGGACTGGAATAAGGTACTGTATAATGGGATGGCCTCCACCTCTCCTGTGGCTGCTCTGTACTTCATCGCTCTCATGACTTTTGGAAACTATGTCCTGTTCAACCTGTTGGTGGCTATCTTAGTGGAAGGATTCCAAACTGAGGTAAAGCCAGTCTCCAGCTTAGCCTCTACATTTTCATCCTCTTTTTTTGTCTTCACTTCACAGTCTGTCTTTTCTTTTTTGTCCTTTAAAGTCTAGCACATATTCCAACACCATATCTTTCTTCTCTCTTTCTCCACTAGCTCTCTCCTGTCCCCTTCGTCTAACACTATGTCCTAAACAGGCACGACGTGACAAAGATTCAAGTGAAAAGCAATTTTTCTGTCCAGGCTGAAAGCGAAAATGCTGCTCGACGCAACAAAATCACAGCCAATCTTTGTGCGTTCTTTCTCACACTCCACTCCACATCTGAGGAGCGTGAAACTAAAAACACGTACCTCATATTTTTTATGGTTTTCTATTTGTCGCATAAAACTAACTTATCAATCTCTTCTAGGGATATACCGATACTGGTATCGGTATCGGGCCCGATACTACTCGTACTCGTTAAAATGCCCCGATACCAAACGTCGATACCACACAGCATGTGATAAGCGCCATATTCAGACAAAGAAACACCGACAACAGAACAACAAACAGCAGAATGGAGTTAAGGATGTCTACTACGAAGTATGTGTATGCAATGAATATAACGTTAAACATTCAGTATTAACGCCTGTATAGCTGATGTGCGCGAGCTGATAAACAAAGCACGCTGAGTGGATTGAGTGCGTGGCGGCGCAGATGCGCGAGCTTGTCGAGTGAATATCCCTTTCTCACAGAAATCACAATTAACATTATACATACTCTTTTGGTTTCTGTACCCAATATTTAAAAAATTTACAAATGCAATAAAAATATTGGTATTGGTACTCTGTATCGGCAAGTACCAAAAATAAAAGTATCGGTATCGGGCGAGTACTGGAAAAAGTGGTATCGGTGCATCCCTAATCTCTTCTCATCCTTTTTTGATGTTTAATATATGTCAGGAGCGATTTTGGTCCAGTGAGTTTTGTGTGGGCAAGACTGCGTGGCACAACACAATATAGAAAAGACACTTGATGGTTTTTGGAGTAGCATACTACTTCTATGGCAGAAAAGGTAAAAGTAGTATGGTATTCTGAATTTAGCAACTGTTAAGAATGTGAAAAATCATAATACATGAAAGCACATCAATGAGGGCAAATAGAAGTTTTGCCTTTCACCTTTATGACTATTATTGGTTTATTTATGCTAAAATACACTTTATTAGGACTGTCTTTATAAAACATTAGGTACGTACCAATTTACATAGTTATGCACACTTCTGGAGCATTTTATAGTATAAATAGTGTGTTCACACTGAATATTCCAACAACAAAGGCCTGTTTACACCAAGAACGATAACTCTAAAAATAACTATAACTATACTAGTGTCCACACCACCATGTGGTTGTATTGTGTTTATTATAAGCACACACTGAAGTTATGTTATCTGCCCCTTTAAATGCTCAAGCTCTTTAAAGGGATATAGTTCACCCAAAATTGAGATATTACTGATGAAATCCAAGAGCTTTTTGACCCTAGATAGCAACACAACTACCATGCTCAAGGCCCAGAAAGGTAGTAAGAACATCGTTAAAATAGTCTAAAAGAGTTTCTTGTTCTGTGTATAATAGTACCTACTCCACACTCATGAGCACTCCTTCTCATTCACCTTCCTTCATTCTTTTTCTTTATCGCCTTCTTTTTCCATGATCTTATGAGACAACTTATCTCCCAATGCATAGCAGCCATTCTTTTCTGACAGAAAGACAGACACGCATACAAAAATGGCCAGGCTCAAGATAAATCGGAGATACAGGTGCATCTCAATAAATTAGAATGTCGTGGAAAAGTTCATTTATTTCAGTAATTCAACTCAAATTGTGAAACTCGTGTATTAAATAAATTCAATGCACACAGACTGAAGTAGTTTAAGTAGTTGGTTCTTTAAATTGTGATGATTTTGGCTCACATTTAACAAAAACCCACCAATTCACTATCTCAACAAATTAGAATACTTCATATTCTTGTGAAGTTCACTCAAATTCTTGAATCGATTTTGCTTGACAATCCTCATAAGGCTGCGGTTCTCTCGGTTGGTTGTGCATCTTTTTCTTCCACACTTTTTCCTTCCACTTAACTTTCTGTTAACATGCTTGGATACAGCACTCTGTGAACAGCCAGCTTCTTTGGCAATGAATGTTTGTGGCTTACCCTCCTTGTGAAGGGTGTCAATGATTGTCTTCTGGACAACTGTCAGATCAGCAGTCTTCCCCATGATTGTGTAGCCTAGTGAACCAAACTGAGAGACCATTTTGAAGGCTCAGGAAACCTTTGCAGGTGTTTTGAGTTGATTAGCTGATTGGCATGTCACCATATTCTAATTTGTTGAGATAGTGAATTGGTGGGTTTTTGTTAAATGTGAGCCAAAATCATCACAATTAAAAGAACCAAAGACTTAAACTACTTCAGTCTGTGTGCATTGCATTTATTTAATACACTAGTTTCATAATTTGAGTTGAATTACTGAAATAAATGAACTTTTCCATGACATTCTAATTTATTGAGATGCACCTGTATAAATGTTATACCTATGTATCATTTTGGGTGGAGGGGCTGTTTTATTACTGTCTCTTTGGAAAGAGGCGAACCGAATCACGCAAGTTGGCGTGTGTATACGGTACAAAAAATATCTATGATTTGATTACCTCTATTTTTACAGTATGAGGTATGATCAGGTTTTGAAATAAAAATTTCACATGCAATCTTGTTGTTTGGCATTCTAGTGGATGTAAAATCTAAAACCTTGACAACTCATTTGTTTTGAACTCTGCTCACATGGTGTATTCAAAATATTCGTAAACTTTTAATGAAAAAAGTATCTCTAGATTTTGATCGATTGTTCAATTGAGCAAAATCATTGTTAGAATAACGAACAGTTCAGAACTCATTCTAAATGCTGATTTGGTGCTCAAGAAACATTTCTTGAAAACAGTTGTGCTGATTAATTTTTAATTAATTATTAATTTAATTTTAATTAATTTATTAATTCTATTATTAATTTGTTAAAACTGTAATGCTGTTTTACAGGATTCTTTATTAATAAAAGTACATTTGAATGTTTTTACTGTCACCTTTGATCAATTTAATGTGTCATTGCTGAATACAAGTGTTCTTGTCACAAATCTTACTGACCCCAAACTTTTGAACTTTGCTATATTATATTATATTATATTATATTATATTATATTATATTATATTATATTATATGATATTATATGATATTATATTATATTATATTATATTATATATTATAGTATAGTATAGTATTGTATTTCTTTTATTATTATTATTAAACAAGTTATAACATAATTATTTTGCATAATTTTAGACCCATATAAATACACTGAAATCCTCTGAAAAGAAAACAAAGCAGGCACAAAGGGTGACAAGTTGTAGCATTAGCACAAGTTGTAACTCTCATTAGACTAAGTGTATGCCAAGAAAGGATGGCCACATTTTATGTTCAAGTTCTTGTTACATAGGCAGTAATAATAAAATGACTAAGTGTGTTGTTATTCTTGTTGAACATAATTTTCCAAGAAGTTCGTGCACCAAAGAAAGTTGTAATTTGGCCCAAAGCAGAGTCTGATCTTCTTTTGTAACTCAAATAGCTTGTAGAAGTAAAAGAAAAACATTAATTTTATATGCGTAGAATGTTTTAGACAATTGCATTCATTCGCTGAATGTAATTCGCTGATTTACTCTGACAGATTCACAATGTGAAAAATTCAATACACGTTATCTCAGAGGTGCTGGAGAGAAAAACAAAAGAGTTCATCAATTTCAGAGAATAACACAGCCAAGTATTGATACCTGCAGTTGCAGCATTTTAAATACGGGCAACAACTACACAATCTCACTGTACCGAGAATGCTAACAGCCTAAACTCCACCCAAAATGCAAAATTGCTTTTACTTCAACAGAAGTGAAGTTTGGTGAAATGTGGGAGTCCAATTTCTCATAATGTGTCTTTGTAAATTCTCTAACACTTTCTGTGCTTTTTCCCCCCTTCTACCTTACCTTTTCGCTCTGTGTGGTAAAATCCTAACACGCATCCACTTTAGGAAATAACCAAGAGGGAAGATTTGCATGGCCAGCTGAGCTGTATTCAGCTGCCTATAGACTCAGGGGTATGTAGCACTCCGCATGATGTAACCCAGTGAGACTAACCAGGGGGACCGCTGCGTTTGTGGACAGTGTCACTTGTGATCGTTTCTTGTAGAAGCAGACTTGACTCAAAGTCTTTCTTCAGGTTCACTTGCTCAATGCCTGGCGGCAGAGTACAAACCTTATAGAGCCTCATGCTTTATTTTATGTGGCTGAAAGGATGTGTTTGGGCTTATGGAAAGCCTCAGCGAAATCAGACAAAGCCAGACAGACTGCTGTGCAAAAGCAAATAAGGCAACTGGGAAGTCCTTTTGAATAGATCTCAAAATCGTTTAATATGTGGATACATCTCTTAATACCTCTTTAATTAATTTGATCTTGTAGAATTGCTCTGCATGGTATCATCAGTTTTTATTTAACTAGACTTAAAAGTTTTATTCAAATAGCCTGAGAAAGTCCATTCAGTGAGCCAGAGCTGAGTGGAAGCACTTGACCCTGTTGAGGAGACTCGGTCTGTTTGTGGTTCTGGACATCACATCCTGTATTTGTTTTCATTCATGCAGCTGTGCTAGGTGACACATGCAGTGGAAGGCCATAAAATGGAGAGCACCAGTGGGGTTTGAACTTGTCTCTTACACCTTCCAGTCCTTCACCTTGACAATCAAATTACATAAACCTCTCTGCTAGTCCTTACTCAGGGGCTATTAACACGTCATGTCAAAACATGTCTAAAATCTCTCTATCAGCAAGGTTGGCTGAGCCCAGTAGAATTCCCAAATTAAGATCTGTGATTGTTAAGCAGCAGTTGCACAGCAACCTTAACATCTTAATTGACAGTACAGCCCCAGCAGACTTTCTTTCACACCTTGTACCTGACCAAAGCAGTTCTGGCAAACAAGCTTAAAGGAGTCATTCTGAAATTTCAGACATAATTATTCAGTTATTCACTGAAAACCTTGTCATTAAAGAGAAAAGTACAACACACTCTCATGGGAATGTGAGAATTTTAAAATTTAGAAGCAAATTTGAATTAATTTGTACTACTTACGACCAACTGAGGATTAGGTTTAGGGATGGACATTCATGCTTCTTTTTTTCCCAAAAATTGTATAAGTTCATGAAATCAGCACCAGTTCACCAAAACATAAAATAGTGATGTTTTTTTTCTCCATGAGATTGATTTGGAAAAGTATCAGTGTCTGATTCACAAAATAATCATTCTTTCATTAATAATCATTAATCAGATCTTTTCAGTGAATTGTTTGATCCACTTTACAAAACCGATTCGAATGATTTGTTCACACATCTGTTTGATTTGTGAACAAATCATTTCTTTTGAGTCAAATCTTTTCAATGATTGAATTGCTTCACTTTACAAAACGGAATGATTCTTTCATAAACTAGATGGATTCAGTTCTTGAAATCTCACTGTATACATAATGTAATATTTTATTGAATAAATTATATAAAATTTTCATTCACAAATTTTTTAAAACATGAGGGTGAACTATTGCTTTAATAAAGCATTTAATGGTTTTAATTTGTTTTACATAGAATACAATAGCTAACAGCTCTTTGCTAGTGCTTAGGTCAAAAAGTCAGGGAGTTTGTTTAGCAAATACTATAGTTTTGTAATGTTTCTGCTACATCTCTTTGTTCAGAAAGGCCATGTGGGAGTGAGAATAGTCGAGTCCATTCCAGACACATCATCCACAGTACTCATGCAGTGAGTAACAGTGGGTGCTGATGCTAAGCTAACCGCTAACTGCACCTGGTGCCCAGCAGACGGTGGTGGCCTGTTTCTGAGGATGCTTTGTAGTGCCTCTCTGCTAGTTCAACCTATCACAGCTGTTTTGTTTTACTCTTCACTGTTGGTGAGAAGGGGCAAGGAGTCCCTCTCCTGTCTTCACTTACAGAGCTCGACTCCAGTGTCATAACTCTTTCAAGTTTTGTTTTTGTTGCCTTAGTAATGTAGATATTGTGTTATTCCCTATTGACAAGTCCTGTTTTTGTTGTAGTTATAGTGTGAATTAATTGCTGTTCGATTGTGCTGTGTCTAGTGTTGCAATGATCCCACTGGTTTCAATGCGATTCAAATTTGCTTTGTTTACTTACCCATTTACACAGCCATTACTAATGCATTGATTTTTTTTTTCTTGATGTTAATTAGTGAAGCCAATGGGATGCATTGTTCGTAGGTGCAAGGTTTGTCAGAATAGTCCCTACTGTGTCCTCTTTGACCATTAGTGCTGTAAAGTACTATGGTAAATGTATGCTGAGATGAATGAGTTTAACATCCTGTAACCACATGATAAGGAAAAAGATTCATCCTTTATGATCTTGCTCATATTTGATTTAAATTACAGTCGGTCCACAAATAGACACCCTAATGGTCAAACTGAGAGCGTGATCCATGTCCTCAGACAGTGATGTCTGTTTTGGCAAACCACCCAGGGTTGAAGTTCTGTGCTAGACCACACTGAAACACTCTCGGCATGAAGCCATTTTAAGACCAGCCCAAGACTGGGGATGAGGAGGATACAGGCCAAACAATGTGATGAGCCCTCTGATAAAAATAGCAGTGTTTATTTCTCCTGCCTGGTCATTGGACGTGCCTGCTCTACTGGTTCTGCTCCTTCAGTGAGCCGAGAAAAAAAAAATCCACACATATTCACCCGCATGTGGATGTGACTTACGCTAATGTAGCAGATGGTCTGACCATGAGATCATCTGCTTAAAAATACACTCAAAGATACATTTAACTAATATTTAGTACACAGTACTTGTGGTTTCAGAGTGGTCGTGCAACCTGGTATTGTCAAATGCATGCCGGCACTGTGTTTTTGTGGATTACCCCAACCAGGATGTCTCTCCCTTAGATACCAGTCACCCTCTGGCCTTTTTTGAGGGCCGGCTGGGGTGGGGGAGACCACACCCTCACCCCCCTGCCTGTTCCTCACCAATATGCAATATGCTTCTTTAATCCCCAGCAACATCTAAACCTGGTCACTAATCTTTTATATCTTCCACGTTTGATAAAGGGCGATGCCTCGAAGTCGGATTCTGAAGCGGATTTCTATGCACGGAGCTTGGAGGATGTTTCAGAACGTAAGAAGAATCTATCTGCATCATCTGGTGAGCTCCACAGAACATAGTTTGCATGGAAGCACATGGGATATTCAGGGCTCAACAAAAAGGATTTTTTTCCCCCCGCTGGCAAGTAGATTTTTATTTCTATGCCCTGCCAACAAATTCACTGGCCCCACCAAAGAAAAATGATTTATTAATTTATGTATTTGTTTGTTTGTGAGAAAACTTTTATTTATTTGCAAGAAACATTTTAACTTATATTTTATATTAGACTTATATTATTACGAATTCTTTACATCCACAATTTTTGTGGACATTATCTTCATTATTTTTTGCTTATTTAATTATTATATTCCATATATACAGATATTGTTTTTGTAGGACACACACCTGCAATTTTTTTCTTATATTAAAAAGACGTGATTAAGGTGCACTCTTATCTTCTGTGCAATCCCAGATACCCTTTTACCCTTCTAACAGTGGGGTTATATTTTGTATTTTTTGTTTTTTTGACATGATGCATCACAATCCTTTTTGAAGATTAAAGCCTGCCTGAAAAAGTCATGCTTGAAATGGTTCCTAATACATTTTTCAGCTGTCTGTCATGTTTTGTTGCTTCAGTTGTGATGTTGAGCATACTATCCTGTCCCTTCCTTTCTGTACTCGCAGTTGTGCCCATCAATGGCCATGTAGATTTGAAGAGCAGCCTGACCCCTCCCCTCATCACTCACACGGCTGCAACACCCATGCCCATCCCTAAGATATCAGGAGGAGGAGATCCGGCGCTAGGCTATGAGTCCCGCAGAGGCAGCAATGTCTCCATGGATCCTAATGGCCAAGACAAATCTCCAGTCAGTAACTACCTTTCTCTGTCTTGATACAGAAAGTTGTCCCAACCTGGGTTTTTTTTTTTTGCGCTGTATAATGCATATCAGTTTCGTTACTCTCAATTAGGTGATTAAGTGACACTTATAGGGTCACTTAGTAATATAATATAATTAGGTCTGTCAGTTAAGTTAACGCGTTAACTTAATTAATTAGTTATGAAAAAATGGGGAAGTCGTGGCCTAATGGTGAGCATACTATCCTGTCCCTTCCTTTCTGTACTCGCAGTTGTGCCCATCAATGGCCATGTAGATTTGAAGAGCAGCCTGACCCCTCCCCTCATCACTCACACGGCTGCAACACCCATGCCCATCCCTAAGATATCAGGAGGAGGAGATCCGGCGCTAGGCTATGAGTCCCGCAGAGGCAGCAATGTCTCCATGGATCCTAATGGCCAAGACAAATCTCCAGTCAGTAACTACCTTTCTCTGTCTTGATACAGAAAGTTGTCCCAACCTGGGTTTTTTTTTTTTGCGCTGTATAATGCATATCAGTTTCGTTACTCTCAATTAGGTGATTAAGTGACACTTATAGGGTCACTTAGTAATATAATATAATTAGGTCTGTCAGTTTAACGCGTTAACTTAATTAATTAGTTATGAAAAAATGGGGAAGTCGTGGCCAAATGGTTAGAGAGTCGGACACATAACCCAAAAGGTTGTGGGTTCGAGTCTCGTACCGGCAGGGATTGTAGGTGGGGAGAGTGAATGTACAGCGCTCTCTCCCACCTTCAATACCACGACTGAGGTGCCCTTGAGCAAGGCACCGAACCCCAACTGCTCCCCGGAAGCCGCAGCATAAAAATGGCTGCCCACTGCTCCGGGTGTGTGTGTGTGTGTGTGTTCACTGCTGTGTGTGTGCACTTTGGATGGGTAAATGCAGAGCACTAATTCCGAGTATGGGTCACCATACTTGGCCACGTCACGTCACTTTTTTTTTTCTTTTTTTTTCACTTTTAAAAAAAAAAGAACGTGATTAAAATATTTTAACGCAGTTAACACACTGGCCCCGCCCACAGACCTGTACGTCATCTTACATTTCATGTTGTTGACTGTTGACAAACATGATGCAGGGCAACAACTCCATAAATGCAGTTATGCCCTAAAATTCAAGATATTGGGGCAAAAATTGCCCCTTTATGAGTTTTTGTCTCAAATTTATATCAGCGCGAGTAATATCACATGAGTGATTTTGTCCTGAATTTCACAAGTTTAAATGTGATTTTATACAACAGTTATAAATAAGAAGTTGATACTGTGGTTTTAAACACAATATTATGTGTTTTTGTTCAATTTTGCAGAGAATATATTATCTTTAAAGCCACAGCAGAACTGTTGCGTCTCCGAGCAAGACAGCGGTGTTTAGTTTCTGAATGAATCTGCGTTTTTGATGCACAAACTAGTAAAGATTCTTAGAACATTAATATGTTGCATAGGTATCAACATGTAATATGCACTCTCAATTAGATCATCCGAAGACGAATTCATAGAGACCAAACATGATATAAGTGAGGTTATATTAACTTGTGATCTATCATAACATGCATAAAACAGTATACAATACAAAAGACAATATACAAGAACAGTAATGGTATACACAATAACCTGAGGATATGTGTGTTCATTCAAAGAAAGGTTTTCCTATGAATTAATTAGAGAAGAGTCCATTTTTACTGTGCATTGTGTCTCTCCTATGGAAAATGTGGTGAAAGGGAGAACTCTCAACATGCCATTAGGTCGTAAAGTGTATCTGGTCTAGCAAAAGGTGTCGGGGTTGCCATGGTGACCAGTGGCCTGTGGTCGTTCGCAGACATCCTGGCACCCAGCTTGTTTATTGGGTGAGGGGTCTGTGATTATTTGTTAATCTAATGAATAATTGATTTGTTAAATCAAAAAAAAAAAGGTCTGTCTGATTGGTCCAGACGCTACAAGAGTCGTTTACTGAATTCCTGAATGAATCAGCCATTTGAACAAATCGAATGAAGACATTTACCGTCACCTGCTGGCAGATTTAGTTTCTTATTTAGAGTATTATTTAATTTAAAATAATAATAATAATAAGAATAACATTAAAGGGATAGTTCACCAAAAAAAAAATCAA